AGCTCGTATTGACTTTGTCAGAGAAAGGTGCTTTGCATCTTACAATACTGTTTCTATTGTGAATGTCCCTAACCCTAACAGTAATCTGTTTCCCTTGTTCTCCTGCCCTTCCTTTATTTTCAGAAACCTTTGTACAGTTCAGGATGATTTTTTATTTGCCCTCTCAGGTACATCACAGAGTATCAAGGTTCCTTTTCCTGCTATTAGATCTTGTGCAAAATGGGTATATTTATATAATATAGATGTTCAGTATTGCTGTGCTTAGTCTTTTTTTTTTTTCCTGCAACAGTCTGTTAATGAGACAGTGTGAGCAGTTACTCAGCTTCATAATTACCATGAATATAATGAATAATTACTCATATTGCATACTGTTTCATTTTCAGTAATATTAAAGGTTAACTCATGTGGATGCTATTATATCCCTTTTAAATTGTTATCACTTTTGGCTAGCTATGTCTCGCATGGAGCATTTTGCCAGAGAAACCCAGAGTAGTTTGCTTATCAGACTTTCTATAGGTCAAGCAAAAGTAATTACAATTTATTATTTCCTGCTAATGCAGATGACCTATATTTTCTTTCGATAAAATAAACTATAGCTATTCCTTACCAACTAAAATTAGGTGTGAGCAAGTTTTTTAAGAACTGGCTGAAGTTCATTTTTTGCCATATATTTAAATCGTGCTCTTTAATAGTGAGCATCATGTGGTCAGTCATTTATTATGCACTTGCTGCAATAATCCATTAAGTATCTCAAAAATTGTTCATGTGCATGCTACAAATCCGTAGTTACAAACCAGAGATGGGTCACCCTGTCTTAGAAAGGCAGCCTCAGTACTGGGTATGGATAAAATGAAGTGCCCTCTGTAAGAAATTTAAGGATGCTAATTAGTGTGAAGGCTATGGCATGAACTTTGTGTCACTCAGGACTGCAGGTATTTTTCGTTTAGGTTGTTTGATAGTATTTTTCTAATATGACTAAAGAGTAGAGACCTGATCTTGTTTTTATTATTCTCTCTATTCGAGCAGACAAATCTATTGCTCATAAAGTCTGACAAACTGAGATGGGAACTACTTACTCCCTCCTGAGCTCCATGAACATCATCATAAAGGGCATCATATTTTTTAATATATATATAACCTTTTCTGTATGCAGTACAACTTCTTCCACTTCAGGTAGTGCCACCACAGTTTTATTAAAACAGAACTCCAGGGGAATATTTGAGGAAGACAGAAGTTTCATCTCAGGCAGGCATGCAGAATTGCACCCTTGTAAGAAATGAATGAGCTTGAAAGGAACTTTCCACAACTGCCGGAATGAGAGCTCTGGGATCTCAGCCCTGCTTCCAGTGTTGGTTGAGCAAAAAGGGCTTGGTTTTATTTATTTTCTGTTGACCCTGGGAATCTTTCACCTCTCCCTGCACAGTCACCAGGCTTCAGTGGGAGGAATAAGGAACAGGAGGTGAGGGTTTGAACACAAACAGGCTGAAGAAAACAATTCCTGAGCACACGCTGTAACCCTCGTGTGCTGCTATGCAAGAGTGGAGAATCATTTCTTCCTTCTGATAAGTTTTTGAAGATAATTGTGACTGAATTCAGTGGAATCTAAAAGCACATGACGTGTTTGTGGGACCAGCCCTTTCAGAGTTGTGGTGCCTTTAGATGCCCATCTCTTGAATCTCACAGCGAAGGGTAAACAACACATAGATGCTAATGCCACAATGGCTGCTTGGGTTTAGACCTAACAGAGGAACATTTGGTGCAAAAGAGAGCTAAAGAGTGGTTTTAGGACTCCATTATTCTGGCAACCTGGTGTTCAAAATCACTCTGAGATCCAGGAGTGATTTGTCTTGCCTACAACCAGTTGCCTCCAGTCACTCAACCCAGGTTTTTTAAACAGTCTTTTTTCAGCCCTAAAACTTACTCAATGAACAGTCAGCCATAGCTTTACATGTACTTCTTTTCTCTCTGATCATTTTTTATCCTCCTTTTGAATAAAATACCTCATTTTCTTCTTAGAGAGCATATAAAGCACTTTTTTTTTATTTGTCTAATTCTGCTTTACAATATTCAGAAGGGTTTGACATTCAGCAGTAGATAAACAGAAGAGTTTATTATTGTTTACTTCCAAAACTGATTGAATATAAATTCCTTATCATTACCTTTCAAAAGCTTGTTTATAGTACTCTTACGTTTTTCAGAAGATAGTCCCATTTTTCACTATTTCCTGTTATTTGCATTTTTCTGACCCGCAATTTTGTTTAACAAAAATGAGATACTCTCTTAAAACTGCAGAATCAAAGAGAGTAAATCCATAGGGGACACTTATCGTTCAAAAAAAGATAAATTATTCCTACCATTCTATTGTCTGAGGATAACTTCTATACACCCACACACTCCCTTGAGCCCCTGCATGGGATTGTTTAGGTGTTTTCATTAGGGGATAAATAGAATTAGAGTGCACTGTTTATAGGGACCATTTAAGCGGCATCAAAGGTAAAAATATGACCATAATAAAGAAAATGTAGTTCCCCTGGAATGGTATTATCACTTGGTTTCTCTCTACACATATAATAGGAATGACCCTGCATATCTTTAAAATATGAGTATGGTAAACACAACATTCAGAAAGTTACATGTCAGCATTTCCCACATTAGCTCCAATTTGAGGCAATACCTGGATAAGGAATATGTCATCCCAGTTGTTCTCTATGCTGCTCTGGGAGAAGAGCACCGTTACCTGCTACCATCAGTCCACAGCTCCCAGCGTAATATGGCTTTCATTAATACAGCCTCTTTTGAAATTCCAAAAACTGATATTTATTTTTTTTCATTAAAATGTCTCTGTGTACTTAGGCAGGCATTTTAAAGTGCAGTGGCATGTTTGGCGAGTTGGTGACATATTTGTCAATGATAAGCAGCACGCCTTATCCTGCGAGTGGGCACCTTCCTCAGTGACATGGGTTAAAGATGTGCTCATAGTGAAAAAATGCTACTTTTCAGGTCTAAGTATTCACTAGAAGCAGCCTTCCAACTACAAATGGGTGTAGTCCCACATGCATTTATCCACCAGATATCCTAAGATGGCAATGGAGGGTTGAACAGTTTATAAAAGACATAAACTACCTCCACTCATCCCAGTGGCTCTCTAATCCTACCGAATTCCCAGTGTCCCTGCTTCAATGCTTCAAAAGCAACTGAGGCAGGTGAACGTGCAGCAACGTGTCTGTCTTCCCAGCTGATGGCAAAACAGCTACATATTGAAATATGGGCTCAAATCGGTGGCCTTCCCCTAAGCAGGTTACAAGCTCAGACTCACCTGTCTATAAATAATTTAAAGGGTATAATTTAATCTGAGCGATGGATGCAGTGTGTTTCCCCCACATTTGGTGAGACCACGTGTATCTCATTACTCGCTGTAGTCAGGTGTCACTGAATAAAGTCCTCAAATTTTTCATCACAGAGTATAGAAAAGCACCTTTGTTCAGGAAAAAGAATTACACAAAAGCTTTATTCCAACAATGTCCTGAGAAGTAAGCATACAATACTTAAAATTAAGCAGGTGCTAAAGTTTGCCAGAGTCATGGGGCATCCTGCTAGGAAGCCTTCCCCAATTCGCTTCTATCTCAAGTATAAGACAGCCTGGAGTTAATCTGAGGACTTCATGAACACTGACCTGCAATTCGCTGGATTCTCCTCCACACCAGCTCCCTTTGTGGACACTTTTGACACGCAGTTTGTGAGGTAGTTTACCACTTTTGTGCATTTGTAACCTTCATCGTTGGAAATAGCATCCCTTTGGTGACAAACATTTGATTTTAACACTAAATGCTTTTTTCTTGATCTTGAAGAAGACTTCTTTCACTCCCAACACTGAATGTGCTTGGACTCCTAATGAGGGGAAAAAATAGATCATCTGGCTATAGTGTTTGGATGAATTGAGCTCATTGTGCCAGAAATATTTTAAATTCTGAAATAGGTCCCGGAAGTGAAGCACTTAGGCTGGAAAACAATAAGCAAAACCACAACTGTAAGGGGAAAAAAAAGAGGGAACCTACAAATATGTAGGATATGGAGTGGCAAACTATTTAATTATCCTATGAATTGGCAATGCTGTTAGATATAGATGGGTTTAAAAACCGATGAACTTGCTTTGTCGAGATCTTTGTTACAGAACTCACTGATGCATGACACTGGGCCCAAAAGTGTTTTCCCAGATTTATGTGGTAAAGTACTTACAAGAATAATTATTTATTGTTGAATGTAGTGTTTTAATAGCAGAAGTGTACTACTTTTTCTTTCCATTATTTCGTCAAAGCTTCTTGATTTAATCCAAAGGGGCAGAATTTTTCAGCATTTCAGAGAATTATTTTTTTTTTAATAGAAGGAAACCAGTTACCATGTTATTTTACTTGTACCCTCTCTTCTGCTTACTGATAAGTGGCCTGATCTCAGTCCCACTGAAATCACTGAGATTTCTGATTTTGAATGCAATCAGAACAGGAGCATGCCTGTCATCAGTTTCCATTTCTCTCCAGAAGCAGGTTGTGTGGTAGAGCAGGGATAGGTGCTTCAGCACTCCCAGTTATTAGCAGTGTCCAATTCCGGTGAAAAGAACAGCTTTCTTAAATCAGGGTGTGCTTTGCCTGCTGTTCTCTCCTGCCTAATCATCCCCTGGAATAGCTTTTTTTGGCCCCACACAAAAATAATGAGATCAGTAAGACCAAGGCAAGAGGAAGTTCAGGAGACGTGTCTCATTCTCACCTTGCACAAACCAGATCCACTGCTGGCCGTAGGTGGAAGAGGCAGACTTCATTTTCCTTATTTTCTTATGAATATCCCTGTCTTGCCCAGTCTTTAACTGACAGTAGCAGAGTGACCAGGAAAGCAGAGTGTTATTATGTTATTAATCAAGAGTGTTATTAATCATTTTTAAAATTAATTAATAGTGGTATAATTATTGGCTTGAACACCTTTGTACTTAGACACACTGTCTTTTCTAGGTAACATTTCGGACAAGAATCTACCACTGTAATATCAACAGCCAAGGCGTCATCTGCCTGGACATTTTAAAAGACAACTGGAGCCCAGCGTTAACCATTTCTAAAGTTCTCCTCTCCATCTGCTCCCTCCTCACAGACTGCAACCCGGGTAAGATGAATTAACTTTCACATTGGCATTCATTCACAGTTCATATTTGGTCAGCTACTAGGATGTGGTCCGTGTGCTGTTTTACTGCTACCTCCTAAAAAAAGACAAAAAGGTGAATTTTAAATGCCATTCATTTAATTTAAGACATAGCATAGAAAGAAAGCACAATTTCAGGAGCTCAAGTGCATTTTTAGTACTTGAGAATAAAATTTTTTAATACAAATATTCTAATCAGTAGAAAATACCTTGTAGTAAGCACTAATTTGGATATTACAACCAGGATATTAGTACCAAGAAATATTAATGAGTTAATAAATATTGAAAAGGAAAGCTTTCATTTAAATATGCTGATAATGTGGTCTCTGAAAAGAATATTAATAGTACTGACAATGATAGATGTCTAACACAGACTCTACAAATAATGAAAATTAATTTAAATGAGGTTTATTCAATATCCTGGGCAGGCAGTATGAGTATTCAAAGCAAGCTGTCATTCTTATTAACTAGCATAGCACTTAACCTCTTCCCCCAACTCTTTTAAATTTGTTTTCTGCCATTGACCAGTAGATCTGTAATTTCAGCTTTCTCTTACCTTATTTACCAATGAATGGTTCTGACTGTAGCCTTGAAAAATTGTAGTAGAAATTATGAAACCATGGTTGAAGAAAAAGTGATGTGAGGGTTGTTGCTGGTTTGTTTTTTATTGTACACTTCTGTGTTTTTTTTAATTTGCCATCTAGTTTTTAAACCTTTAGGTTTCTTGTTTTAAAACTTTTCTCCTCAACCAAAGGGATATAAATTGCTTTGCAAAGGGCAGAATATAAGATTCTTGTGTAATCACAGGCTGAGTCAAAAGCTGTAACGGAAGACTGAATTATTTTCAAGCTCAGAATATGGTGAAAGTGGGAAAAAATGCAACTGACTGTTTTTATTTTCATGTGGGTTTGTTACTGTATATAGCATTAAAACTTGTGGCATTCCTTCCAGCGGAGAGCTGGAGTGATAAAGGAGCCCTGTGTTACCACTTCAGACACGTTTATTGTATGTTGGGTGCTCTCTTCTTACATCTCTGAAAGATTGACTTCTCCTAGTATCTATCCCAAAATATCAACATATGCAGAGGTGCCTATAGGAAGCCAGGCAGATGGATGACAAAAGTATAAAGAATAGCAAATGAATATTTGCTTATGTGTCTTAGTGACCAGGTAAAGAGCTAGAGATGCTGCAAAACTGTGTTGGGAGTGAGAAACTGGCAATAAGTATGTGCTCATTTGTGTTCACCTCTCTTTGTGGAGATACAGTCAACTTGAAAGCTGGCCACTTTCCAGTAGTGATTTCCAGATTTGCAATTTAGAAACTTAGTACCTCTGCTGCCCTCTCAATCCTCTTCTTTCCCTTAGTCTGTTTTACAGATGCTGACAAACAAGAGTTTTAGCTGACCAGGTGTGTAAGAGCAGCACTGAAAACAGTTACCCATAATATATTATCGTATGCAACAAGTTAATATACTAAAAATGGGAGGTTATTCTTTCCTTCAGTTTCTTTCAGTTAGTAACCATAAGCATTCTCATGACCGTAGTAAATTAAACAATTTTATGGTGTTCCATTTTCAAACATTCTCTTTAATTATAAGGTAGTTTTGGATTTTGTTACTACGTTATGTTAAAATTTTCCGATGATATTTTTAGGAAATTTCTTAATTTGTATTGTGAATTCCCCTCTTGTGAGGCACCGACGGCAAATAGCTGTGAACTGCTGAGTCATTTTTTGCCTGCCTTTGAGAGTGCCTGTTTCATGTTAGATACTTTTTTATTAAAAAGTGAACTTTGAATGTTAGTTATGTACAACAGAAGGCTTGCAAAAACTTACAAGTTCTTACTTTTCAGCATATTGCCTAATATGCTACAGCTTGTTCTGGTTGTACTACCTGTACCATTGTTTTTTATGACATTTTATCATGTCATAACCAAAGGATTGGTTCCTTGCCATCCAGATTGAACAGGATGGATGGATGGATGGAGATATAAATTACCGATATATATATATCACTGAAATATATTGCATGTATATGTACATATCTAGACACAGAAACATACATATATGTATTTTCCTCTCTGTCAGCTGGGAGTAATTTTCTAATCCCTCAGTCCTCTCTTCATCTAACTACTCTGCCCCTTTCTAAAGGCAGAAACCCAACAGGGGTCTCGATTTGATAAGCAACTTTGAACTCTTTGTTCACCATTCATCAGCCAGAAGCAGATCAGGTCAAATGGAAAGGCAACACTGAATCTCCCGCAAACATAAACACTTGGGATGGGCAAGTTTTCCACCCCCAGCCTCTCTGAAGGGAAAAATCAAGTATCAGTTACCCCCTAGTCTTACATTTATGCAAATCTTCATTAGAACAACAAATAGCAGTAAGAATGGCAGCTAATTAACCCTCAGTCATACACAGTGATTAAACGGAGCTGGAGCACAGCTGCAGCTTCACTGGCAAGCGCTGCTATTCTTCTCCAGCAGGCTGAGCAAATGAAAAGAGGTATTTGCTCCTGCCGCTCCTGTCATTCACACAGTAATCTACAAAAGCCACGGAGAGAGTCTCTTTCCTCCCCGGTTATACATCACCGCCCTTTGTTCCCTATCACTCCAGGCAGGAGCGAGTTTGTCCTTTTTAAACAACTAATACAATCCTTTACTCATAAGCTGTCTCAGACCCTTCAGTCCTGATTATTATTAATTGTCTCTATTTTGCTTGGCAGTATCAGCCAGTAAACTGTGTTAATGAAATGTCTGAATTTTGTAACAGCTGGCTGGGTTTTTTCGTGGGGGGAAGGGGTGCCGTAGGGTTTGTGTATGAGTGAACGTGTGTGAATTACCTGGGAGAGTCAGAGAGCCAACTGGAATGGTATCAGAGAGAAGGGAGAGATGATGGGATACACTAGCATTCAATCTGGGGATTCGTATTTTACTTTAAGGTGGTACTCTGGGGCACAGCACACACCTTTTGCTACAAAGCCGGGCCCGATCCTGTAAATATTTTGGCATGCGCATGAGCAACCCTACAAAAGCTGATAGATACATTCATCTGCATGAAACCCAGTATGTGAGTAAATGCTTGGAGGCTATTTCAGTGCCTGAGCACTGAAAATATTTACTTTCAGTGTTAGCTGCTAGGGCTTGTCTATGTGGGCAGTTAGTTATTTCAGAATAACTCCACGTGTGGACACTCCCCTCTGAAAATTTATTAAATCAAGTCAAGAAAAACTGTCTTACTTGGAGTATAAGTCAACTGTACTTTAAGTATTCAAGTGGAGCCCGGTGAGCGTAAATTCCCATATTGCCTTAATCCAAATGAGCTTTCAAGTGAGGATGGCCCCTGAGGTTTTGTATTTTTACTGAGCTTCAAGTATGAAAACAAATTAATTATTTTTATATTTAGAGAGCTGGTGATGCTGATCTGGGCTGAAATGCTTATTGTTCTCAGTTGGTCATTGCCACCTCAGCCCTGCCAAAGGTTCTCAAGCCCCAGGAGAGCTCTCATTTGCAAATGCTTCAGAGAAAAATTGAAACACAAATGTGACTGTGCTGCAACTTTCCTCTCCGCGTGTTCTCCTTCACACCTTCGAAGTCTGAACTTGGCTGGCCTGGTTATCCCTGATGTCTGAACACTCTAACGTCAAATTGTGTTTGCTTAATGACACACAGCTAAGCCTTGATTAGGACATCAGAACAAAACCTGCTACATCTCCCTCCACCAGCCTCTTCACTTCTGGTGTCATCATCCGCATCTAACTCTTTTCCGTTGTTCCCACACACAAGTTCCACGGCCAGTGGGGATTTTATCCCTCAATCATACCAATGATGTTCCTGCCCTTGTTCCCCGTGTGTCAGGCTGTGCCTGGCTGTGAACTCCTGCCATGGGGATGTTATGGGAACATAACCCCAATATTCAAAAAAGGAAAAAAAGAAGACCCAGGGAACTACAGGCCAGTCAGTCTCACCTCTGTGCCTGGCAAGATTATGGAGCAGATCCTCCTGGAATCTCTGCTAAGGCACACGGAAAATAAGGAGGTGATTGGAGACAGCCAATGTGGCTTCACCAAGGGCAAATCGTGCCTGACAAATTTGGTGGCCTTTTATGATACTGCCACACACTTGGTGGACAAGGGCAGAGCAACAGATGTCGTCTACCTGGACTTGTGCAAAGCGTTCGACACTGTCCCGCATGGCATCCTGGTCTCAAAATTGGAAACTAATGGATTAGATGGATGGACCACTCGGTGGATAAGGAGCTGGCTGGACGGCTGCACCCAAAGGCTTGTGGTCAATGGCTCAATGTCCAGTTGGCGCCCAGTGACGAGTGGTGTTCCTCAGGAGTCCGTACTGGGACCAATGCTGTTCAACATCTTTGTTGGTGACATGGACAGTGGGATAGAGAGCACCCTCAGCAAGTTTGCTGATGACACCACGGGCCGTGGTGCGGTCACCACGCTGGAGGGAAGAGATGCCATCCAGAGGGACCTGGACAGGCTGGAGAGGTGGGCTCGTGCAAATGGCATGAAGTTTACCCAAGCCAAGTGCAGGGGCCTGCACCTGGGACATGGCAATCCCAGGCACAAATACAGGTTGGGCAGAGAATAGCTAGAAGGCAGCCCTGAGGAGAAAGACTTGGGGGTGTTGGTGGATGAGAAGCTTAACATGAGCCGGCAATGTGCACTGGCAGCCCAGAAAGCCAACTGCATCCTGGGCTGCATCAAGAGAAGCATGGCCAGCAGGTCACGGGAGGTGATTCTGCCCCTCTACTCTGTGCTTGTGACACAAAGCTGTGTCCAGCTTTGGAGTCCTCAACACAGGAAGAACATGGATCTGCTGGAACGGGTCCAGTGGAGGGCCATGATCAGAGGGATGGAGCAGCTCCCCTATGAGGACAGGCTGGGATTGTTCAGCCTGGAGAAAGAGAAGGCTCCAGGGAGACCTTGTAGCAGCCTTTCAATATCTGA